GTCAAGTGAGGAAGATGAATCATCCCGAAACCACATTACCGCAACTGCGATTAGTTATAATCCTATAAATCAACTCTCGAACGACGAGTATTATTCGCTATATTTTATAAATAAAAAAAGGATCGGATCAATTGCATTATCGAATAAGACCATTGGGACGAATTTCTGGTTGAAAATTAATGAACTAGAAAATTCTGATCATATTTTAATCAGAATTCTGGTTATTTCAATTAGAATTTTAATAAATTTAATAAAAAAATTCTGATTTATCAATTTTCAACTAAAATTGCAATTAATGCAATCAGACTTTTTTCAATGCAAATAAGATAAATTTAGTTATCAATGATTATCTTATCTTTTTGTTATCTTACGTGGCATTAATTCTCAGACAGAATCGGGTGGACAAAAAAAAAGCGAGAGACAATGTCCGAATTTATTTTATCACATTTGTTACACGTTAAATTGTTTTGGAAATGAATTAAATTTTTATCTCTTGTTTATTTCGAATAAAGATTAACGCGTGATCTGTCTGTTTCGCAATAAGAAGATAATTATAAAAGCGGGAGTAGCCCGTGCTTTTCAAGCAGATGTTCTATCTTTGATATTGCATGTTGTGCATCCATATACATTACAGCAATACGAGCCGTATGAAATGGATTATCTCGATTAAACACGAGGCTTCTTGCTCATAGCTTATGCAGATTGCTGTGGATCTGCTTAGGAAACGTAACAACGTAACAAACATATCGATATTGATCGATATTGACTGATATTATGCAGTCGACATTCCTCAGGCATTAGTATCCTACGTGCACGTTCTTGATATTCGATTTCGCATACGTGAGAAGACGGAGGAAGTTAGAAATAGATACTTTAAAGTGTTTTCAGTCTATTGGCTGGGGCTTAATTCTCTTCCAATATAGAACTGTATCTACGTAATAAGATGATGGAATATATAGTACATATATCAATACACATATACAAAAGCAGATATTAGAACCTTGTTTCACCATTGAAATTGAAAAATTTATCTACAAATGATGTTTATCGGTCTTGACATACTAAGTTCATATCGGCCTTGACTAAAGTCGAACAACAAATCGATCTAACGGCTTTTTAGTCTTAATAACATGCCGGTGTTTTAATAAACACCAGTACGCTACTTACAACGATGTGAAATAATGAATTCATCACGTACTAATCGACCGCCGCTATTCGTTCATGAACTTCTTGTGCCCTTGACGTACAGCTGAAAAATATATAGTACAAGTTGCTTCGAAATTATAGTTGTGCGGTACGAAGCACGTCACGCCTCGTCACAACTCGTGCTGCATGTTTGTCATCAAACATTACAAAAACTCAAAACTCCATATATACCATCTCATTTAAATATAATTTTTATTAACTTTGATAAGAGTGAGAGATAGTCTATATAGCCCATAGACTGTAGAATATGTAATGTCTATCAAAGATACTTTTTTTATAGTAATAAGAGAATCGAGAAATGATAAACGAGATGATATAAAAATAACTGTGCATAATACTCCGCTGACGTGATGGAAAATTGTTGCAACGTAAATTTTTAATGCTTAAATTTTTAGTGTCATGATGTTGGATAAATGATAAATTCAATACGATAGTTTATTGCTACATCTATAGAAAAGATTTCCAGATCCAGCGCTACTCTTCTATCTATCATAAAATAAAATTTATATTTATTGTTAACAGAGGAATATTTTGAATGGAAAATTCTCAAATCTAGAATAAAATGATCTTGGTTTCGTGCCAAATGTTGTAGCAGCAGCATCGTGCGTTGTAACATCAGATAAAGATTTATTCTAAGAATATATAAACTTAAATTTATATGCGTTACTTTTGTCTCAAGTCAATCTTATTTAATTTGAAGAAGAAAAATCGAAATTATTAATCTGATTTTAATATTGTTTTGTATTTTGTAAAGTTGTGATAAGATTAAGTACATTAAAAATATTTTTTATCTCGTTATCAGAAGTCCTTTTTGAAAAGGTATTTGTAATTTTTGGATAAAATAAATTTGGAATTATGAATAATGTCGTTGTCAAATATTCTGTGCTTAAATTGAGTGGGATAATATTGCCATCCATATCTATATTGATAGATTGTAGGAGCTAACAGAAAAGCTGAGTGACAGTTGTCGCATGTTTGCACTCGGAACTAGTTCTCTCGTAAGTATACGAATGCACCATTGTTATGTTGTGCTGGCTTGTTAAAAGGAAACTTTTATCGATTTCCTACAGAGTCACTTTTACACTTTATACGAATATTGTTGTGAGAGTTCACCCGCGGTTTTCGAGGAAAATTAGTTTTACAATTTAATTCGATTTTATAATTTAACTTAAGCAAATTCCCTATGCATGTAATTTAAAGGCGCAATTTTATTATATTAATTTTATCGAGCATATATATTGAGATTCTTTTCGAATTACTCTAGTTTTATAACTTTAGAAATAAACAGCATCTTTATACATTCTGATTTTATTATTGTAAATACAAATATTTTAATTATTTACTGCATACTTGCTAAAAATGTGTATTTTATGTAACCTAATTTCAATCTTAAGCTTACACAGACATTATCAAGCAACGTTAAAGCATTTCTATGCATAGACATTATGTGCAGATGCTATAGCTTTCGTAAATATTTGAGTTTTCCGATTCGTAATAATTTAACAAAATGTGTCATTGTTTTAATACTTTTTCCTCTAAGGTCCAGTTCACAACTCACAATTAACCGAGGTTCAACTTGTTTCTCATCTCTTTCCAATTCTAAAATTAGAAAGAGACAATGAATAAGTTGAACCTCGGTTAAGAGTTAACCATGAGTTGTGGAACTGGGCCTAATTTTTTTTTTAAATTCTTGTATTTCGATTAATCATTGTCCATTTTATCATCACTTGTCCAAATATTTATAAAATTATCGTTATGAAGTGTATCGTTATCTATTATGAACAGTGTCTGAAGACACTGTAAAGAGATACTGTTAGGGCGCGTTCACACCTTGATGGAAAAGTATAAAGCGGAAAAGTAGTAGCCAATCAGAACTCGCACTGATAGTCGACAAAATTTTGGCTTTTTGTACTACTTAATACCAGCGCGAATTGTGAATTAGCTACTGCTTTTTCGCTTTCTGCTTTTCCGCTTTCTGCTTTTTCGTCAAGGTGTGAACGCGCCCTTAGAATTAGTACTTGTGATTTCGCACATATATATTTACTTTTAGTCTATATACTAAATCTATTTATCGATAAAATGATACTTAATTAAATAATAAAAATCTAAATGATCTCGAGATAAATCACCGAATTAGACTATCAAAATCGTTTTCTGCAAAAGGTCGATAGCTTATCAGTGTCGATAGCTAGTTATACGTTATGCCTCGTGTGCGACTCCTCGTGGTTTATCCATTGATTCGTGTGGGAAACTTCTTGTGAACAGCATTACTTAATACTTTTTAACTTTGCGATTTCATACACAACACATACACACATACACACGAACTTCGAGCAAGTGGAATTATTATTGTTTATAAAATTTTTTAAACTCGTTCTCTCCTTGGACATGCGCGTGAAGTTGATATAATAAGGTAACCAAACTTTATATGACTTATTTAAACATTGTGATTTTTTCCAATTTTTTGTTGACAATATAAGCCCAAAATTAAAAATTGATAGTCAGTTTTAAAAGAGAAAACATTTCTGAACATAAAAAAAAATATGAGACGTTTTCAAGTATTTACATGAGTGCAGTGAAGAAAAGTAGTATTTAGATCATATTGAGCGCACGTATACTTACTATGACCTAAGTATATGTTTTTCTCTTTTTCGTAAAAAAAATATTAAGAAGCAAATAAAGAGCAGCAAATAACGTGATTCAAGTTATTTTAATAAAATTATATATATAAGGTAAATATATGTAGATTAAGGGATCGAGCTCCAATGACCTAATTAGAGGAATCATATTATGTAAAAAAATCATATAAAAATCATTAAAAAATGACGATAGATTTCATATAATCTTGAAAAATTGTTTTCCTTTTCAAAAATTAATTTTATCGTTTGCACCCTCAAGCGCCATACAACTTTTGTCTGAAATGTTTTTCAGTATTTTGCATATTTTTCAAGATATTTGTCTACGGCGTTAAAATGGGATATCCTTTATAATTAATAAATATATATAATTAATATATATAATTAAAATATATAATTTATATATAGTATATATATATGTACATATGTATATATATATATTTTATGATCAAAAATTTTATAGCGCTTTCTAAAATAAAAATTTATAAAATTCCTATAATTTTATAATATGTAAAAGGCATTTTCACTGCTGTTTCTTACCATTACAATTATATTTATCGTCTACTGTAATTATTCATTTTTTATTATGTATCAATTGCTGACTACTTACAATTTTCCTTTATCATGGTCTATTTTACATTTGAACAGTGACGTTCTGGGTCATTTTGCTATTATCCGACTTCATAGAATTTCTCAGTAATATATTCACAGTATCATAAGTTGTGCGTATTACTTTATTTCAGTAACTAGATAAGTTTAGTTTCTATCTTTTTTTTTACAAACGTACATATTACGTTTTACCAAATGACGCTACCGATCATTTTTCGAATCAGAATCTTCAGTTTGCACTCAGAAAGATTAGAACTTAGTTGAAACGTTTGCGTTTTTGCATGTAATTGTGAATTGCATAACTTTTCACTAATAAACATATACTTTGCATATCAACAATTTTATTGGCTTTTAATAAACTTTATTGGCTACTTTGTTACTTTTTTGTGAATTGTAAAAAGGTATATTCTAATTTCTGTTCTATAAAACGGATACAGTCTGCAATAAGGATGTGCACGAGACATCTAGAACGCACAAGATCTATAATACGAGTAATAATCTGTAAATGTGAGAACAAGTTCATCTAATCGAGGACATTCGTGTTTTCAGGCAGATGTATATGATGAAAGGGGCTTATTAGTATGCTGGATAAGCGGCGGCTACATGCCTCCGGTACTTCGCCATGCACCCTCATCTTTGTGGTCGTTTTGGCACTAACTGGATGCTTCTCGTTTTGGATTCACATCGATGGTTCAGGATCGCCGATTCCCTACTCCAGCGGCGGTGTGGCCGCGCCAGGATATATCCTTATATTTCCCGGAAACGTTACACCCTCCACGCAGCCCCACTCAATAAACGAACTTCCGTCCGATGATAAATCCACACTGATCAACATCACGGACTTTAGATTCATTATGAACCACAATCCCTGTAATCGTACGCAGCCATTGCTACTAATGTTGGTTCACTCGGCGCCAGGGAATTTTCCGAAGAGGCATGTCGTGCGGGAGACCTGGGGTCAACAAGCGCCGGACGTGACTTTATTATTTCTCGTGGGATACTCGAAGAAATATCAATCAAAACTCGAGAAGGAGAACGAGAAATACCAAGACTTAATACAGGGAAACTTTCTTGATGCCTACAGAAACATGACCTATAAGCACGTTATGGGATTAAAGTGGGCTACTTATTATTGTCCAAGTAAGAAGAGAACGTAATATGATGTCCATCGTTTTATAATTTAATTTAATTTATTTTTAATTTGCGATTATCTTATTTTTTTATATTTCATATCAGATATTACAACAATATTATAATGATAATAGCTGATAATAATTGATAATAATCGATATTTAATATTGATTTGATCGCATGCGATTTTTTTTTTCTTAAAAAGAACACAATCTTTATCATTTACTTTTTATATTTTCATTAAAATTACAAGGGTATAATATTTATATATGATTTTGATGTTATTGTTTTTTGTTTCAGGTGCCAAATATATTCTTAAATTAGACGATGACGTTTTTGTTCATTTACCGGCCATGCTGGACTTTCTAACGCATGGCCTTTCGCCGTGGGGTGCAAGACGTCTGATTCTCTGTGATCTTCTGTCGGCTTCCGCAGTGAAGAGATCCTGGCGCTCAAAATGGCGCGTCTCTCCTCAGGAGTATCCCGGTAGACTTTATCCCGCATATTGTGCCGGATGGGCGATCCTATACTCTCCCGATAGTGTATTTATACTGTACCGCGAGGCTCAGAAAGAGCCATACTTTTGGATCGACGACGTGCACATTACCGGGACATTGGCTAGGAAAGTAAATTTAACGCAAACCTCATTACGCTCTTGGGTGCTTACGACCGAGAGCATGCGGGACCTGCTGTCGAATCCGAACGCTCGACGGGATTTTTTGTTCGGGCCTCCGGATCTAACGGAGAACGGAATACGAGCCTTATATAGTCTGGTTACTAAACCACGGCCTAGCAGTGAAAGCCTATTGAATTAAACGTCTAATAGAACAATTTCGTTATATTTGATCGCCGTAACGTGAGGACGGCAGAAAGGAAGAGAGATACGAACAGCGAGTGTTCTTATATACTTTCTGCGTATCTTAATTCTATATGCATTGCGATATGCCCTGTACAACAGTTCAACGTAAGTGTTCGATTATTTGCACAATGTACAAACGCCATATTATGTATGATACGTACGTAATAATGCGTTGCATATATGTGCATATGTGTATATATGTATATATACACACATACACAGATGCAGCAAACACAAATTACGAAATTTACAATTGTCTTGAACAAGAAATGAAACGGGTATAATTTCGATGAATCTCTTTTATTATAGATTAGAGATTAAGAGACACACAATTGTGTCTCGCGCTAAGTCACGGCCATCAAAACAGTAAGACGGAAATGTGTACTTATATGCGAATCGTCTAGCATAGATTACTTCAAATCTCAGAGTAATGCCTGGACCGACCAAGTTCCTAATATTTGGAAAAGATCCTTATATCGATTGTTACATTTACATTGTCGCAAATAATACATAGGGATCAATATCACTTACTCAAACTCGACGGAATGATACCGGTTTCAATTCCTGTATTTGATTATTATTTATATTTGAAAAATACTCAAATGTATAGTGTAAGTTTACTCAAGTTTATGTATTTACTTATCCACTAAATTGAAAGGATTTATTTCTCTATTTGAGACTGTTAATCTATAATCAGGGCTTGTAATTAAATGTTGTTTGAAATAAAATTAATCTTGAAGGCGTGCACAATTTTTTACGCTTTAGATTTTCGAAAATTGTTTAAATTATAATTATATATAATTATAACATGGAGCAATTGTGCTATAAACATTATTTATAGCACAATTGCCATACCTGATTTTTTATGTACAGATTGTACCATTTAATTAGTCATTTTATCATTATGCAGCACATACGCACACACACACGCACATTTTTACATTTCGTAATTTTATTTGTATTGTTTTTGAACTTCTGCATTAAATTGAGAAAAGAACATTTTATCATTTCGTATAAATTGAAGATATTTATTTGTAAAATTTTTCGCGATATGTACGCGAACCCCGTCAATTATGTGTATATAAGTAATAATTCAATTTATAAATTGTTCAATTTATAAATTGTTTATGAGCCCTGGTTACTAAGTGATATAAATTTAGTTAAATTTAATATTTTATGCAATCTTTAAAATATTAATTTGTTACTCTAAAAGAAAACATCAGCTATTTTTTTATTTACACTTATAAAAATGCCATAGTATGTATAAATGTGGGAAGAATAGTAATAATATTAGTATTGAAGATCAGCGAAAGTTCTCTACGCGAAACTTACGTGTCTCGCGATCGGAAACATGCTCCTCTCGCAGTGATAGAAATTTGCAAGTGACGAGTATGTTACTTTTATTGTAAATTTAACGGAAGTTCATTGTGGAGCCACATTTGTGAATGTACTTAAACATAATGTAACAAGCAAATTTTAAGATATTACATTGTTACGCAAGAACATTAACGAGTCGGATTAATATTGTTACGTAGCAACAAGTACAACCCCAAAACAAGGGTCCATTCGCAATTAGATACAGAGATTGCAGATATTTGTCCGTTTTTGAACGTCTATAAATTTTTTATGTAAAAATCGGTTGGTCACCACGATTGTATCCGGTACTATGAAAGTCCGTGCCTGTAAACTCAAGTGTGAAAATCATGCTAGCTTTTAGTTACCGTGATTTCTTTAAAGGTCAATAGTCAACGTGATAACATTACTTCATTGTACTGTCTTTTTTCATCTAAAATACAACGAATGCGGAATAAAACGCATAATTCTATTTATCAGCACCGTACTGAGAACCGAATTTCCTGTAATGATATAATCAGGAATAAATTCGGGCTCTGTTACTTCAAGTTTTCATTCACAAATTCTGGAACTGGGCTGTATATTTATATTGTATTATAGCATAAAGAAATTGGTGATTACTAGTTATTAAAGGATCTCACGCATTATTCCTCTTTGTATATTCTCAGACGTTTTTACTCCTATTGAATTTTTTTTTATATTTACCGTGTTATCATGTATCGTTTTCGGAGAGGGAAGTATCCTCGCAATACTGTGAACTATTATAATTCTTGTGATGGAGTAAATATACTTATAATTTAAATAAATAATGGAATTATTTAAATTGCATGGTGTATTTTTTATGTTTATTCTGACTTTGCATTTATTCTCATAATAATTTTGCAATAACTTTTATTTGCACAGCAAATCGTAAACTATATTAACTGTATGATTTAATGTGAAGATGTGTACACAGAGACGAGATCAATGTTAAAAGTAATGATTGAAGTATATCATTAATAGTCATAAGCTAGATTAGAAATTAAATATACATATTATATATTATTGTGTATGTAAAAAAGTTGCATTTTCATTGTTAATTAATGATCACTGCATCTTATCTGTGATAATTGTCTTCAAACTTCGATAAAACTATCGGATATTACGACTGAATAGGGTGTGAATATATACATATAGAAATAACGTACAATCGGATATATACTTTATTGGTCCAGCTGTTTAACTACGTAGAACTATTTATAAAACTTTACAAAATGTTCAACGTGTTGCAATAAGGGAACCTTGCTTTAAGTATATTTACAAGGCAACGGAGTTACGCGATTTCTAAGAATCGATTGACGACAAAGCTATTATATGATTAACGTGATTACCGCAGGTTCCTTGAGAACATCCATTACAATTTCATGATATTTCCGACTAATTGTAAGATATTTTTCATCGTAAACGCAACGTGATTGTGCAAATACCTCCAAGCTCGGATTTTGATCTAGCTAGAAAAACTCGCTACAAATCTTTCTCAAAACAATCTGAATATAAGATTTAAAAAAAATTTTAAATACTATACAAAATCATTGTGAGGCACATTTAATTCTTCGTGCACCTATTTTGTAGACACACACACACACGATTAATTCTAAAAAATCATCTTGAAAATTATAATCTTTAATATAAACAACAATTTACGAATAAAGCAGTATACAAATTATCTATTATTAGATTTTAATAATAGATTTAATGTGAAAAACATACGTTTTTGTATAATATATTACGCGAGCAAAATGTATCGTACAAAGTATATCATGATATAGACATAAAAAAGTAATTATAATTAGTCCAATTTGTGAATTTATTACTACCAGCATCATTGCTGTGATGGTTTCATTAATTTTGACAGTAATAAATTCATGAAAATGCATAACTTTTAAATCTACCCTTTTGTTTCCCTTTAATGCACCTTGTTAAATGAAAATATGTGTTTATATATATTAATATATATATATATATGTATATATATTAATATAAAACAAAAAACTTGGGAAAAAATTATTTTTGTTCCAATATATTGCTTGTTTTATAAAATTTATTACTGATCAAAATTTTATGTTTCATATAATTGCGGTAGAAATAAGTTTCTATTAAAAAATATTGTTGAAATTAGTAAAAGGAGTGAAAACTGTAAATAACTATAAAGATTCTGTAAAAAATTTTTTAGTCTTATGTAACGAAATACTATTGGCAATACAATATGGCGACATAAGCGAATTCCATAAACTCTACCAACATTGTTTACATTCCGAGGTGTACTATTTGTGTCTACTGTGTAAATTCGTTAACAATCCTGACTTAATGATTGCGAGAGATAGTTTAGAAAAAAAATGCCTATCGTTTACAAATGTCCCGATAAACATGAAGACGTTCATCTCGCCTATGAATTCGTAAAATTACATACGATTTGTCCACGTGCGTCCAATCAAAAATCGAGACTCGATTATATCCTATAAAAATTGGCAGTATATAAACAATTCATCACATCAAAAGTTAATGTGTATATATATATATTTTTTTTATATTAAAAAAGGTCTCGTAACGATCGTTAAGATTGGTAACGTTTATCCTTACATATGTTGATTTAAAGAAACTCGGATACCTTTGTTCAACGCGACTAAGAGATACTCTGTAACATTATAAACTACAACTTTTATGATCTAACAAATTCGCCGCTCGACATTCGTCGATAATTACATGTAGTAAAAACAGTTTTGTTCTAACGCAGGGGCACACAATTTTTAAATTCTATTTGTGGAACATCTATATAGAAAGTCCACGTGAAATATCTTTTGTGTTATTTTTAATAATTATGTTTAATATTTTTTTTTACATTATTTTGGATGACATGGTAATACAATTGTATATGTAATAGAGCAAGTACAGTTATTTAAATGTAAAAAATGGAAATAGCGAACAATTTAGCTCTTCATTTATCTGATCGTTAAACGATATAAATTATGTCTGGGGAACCTAACTTTGGCCCCGTATATCGTGTGCACCTGCTCTAACAGCTTTAACTTCCTAATTTATATCACGTAGTCAATTTGAAAGAAAAAAAAGTGATTAATATACGGGCCGAGAATGAAAACGCGTAAAAAGAGAAAAAGAAACAGGTATAAACTGAAAGGGATACGTTTGATTGACTTTGATATTTCCCAATCAAGACGTCACATGAATTGAAAATTGTTCGTTTCATGAATCGGAGATTGTTCCACTTTCCAGAGATTGAATCAATACGGCGGTGCGTATTAATTTAATTGGATTTCATTGTATACATACATGTAGGAAATTCTATTCTCTGTAGACTTCCTTATGTAATAACACTGGCCAAACTATGACAAATTCAACTACGAGTTCTATAATCTGTATTACTACTTTCTTACAGTCGGCAAACACCTTTGCGATACATTTTCTACGTTTCTCATTGATCAAAATCAACTGCGGTGAGAAGACGATATGGCACGTATCGTGCGTTAACGATTCACATAGCAAGGTACAAGAAAGTAGGAATAATTAAATTACCGTCTAATATCGTCGCTCACATCATTACATACTCAGAGCACTTAATATTCAGGTACTAATTATGTTATCGTAAAGTGACTCGGGATTATAATTAGCCTTACACGCTGATAGGAATAGAGCCGAGCAACATTTCGTGACAGTACAGCTAATACGAGTCAGTGCGATAATAATACATTTACGTCGTAAATGTTTTTACGGCGAATATGAATTGCGAGTACATAAGAATAAAACAAGCACGACTGAATAAGGATATTATACATGCAGATTCCTAAATAGGAATTTATATGTATATATAAAATAATTTTATAGTCGCAAAATCCCAAATGTTTAATTGAACAAAAAAGAAATCTGCAACTTTTCGTAAAGCCCATCGATTTGCCCTAACTTCGTTATCTACTATTTGCAGAGATTCTTTCGCATGCGTCCGACCTCGGGACCGTTTTCGCTCGAAAGGTCCGCGCGATGCTTTATATCTATTAATATTTAACGGATACCTGCGATGGGGCGTTTCCGGAGGCCAGCTCCGAGCGCTATACATACATATATTTTCATCTATGGAGAAACGACGCATCTGCTTTTAATTACAATTCACACGTGCGCGTAAAGAACATATATACATAAAAAGAATGATTTTGCTAAGTATCTGAAAATGTAAGCAGATATACATATCTGAAGATAATATTTTATTGGACTATCAAAATAATTATGTAGAAAACTCATGCATAATGAGCAAAAATTTTTGACATTCCAGCAACCAACTTAAGTTTTTCATATAATTATTTGATAGACCAATAAAATTATTTTTATTATTTTTTAGATCTGTATTTAACTAAATTTCAGATATTTCAGCAAAACCGTTCTTTCCATGTATATATACATATATATATATATATATATAGCAGTTATTTCGAAACTTTACACGACAGGAGAGATCAGTTTGAAATATTTGCGCGATTAGTAGACTAATCGTACATTCAACGTCAAAGTGGAAACAGATCCGAACTCTCGTGAATTCAAATCAAACTCGATCCGTCAATTCGTTCAAAATGCAAATAACGAGGATGTCCGAAGGCTAAGGAAATGATCTCTATTTGAGCTAGAATAATGCATTCAGAACTGTCTGCCATTATCCGCTACGAGATATAAATAACTATAGCGATTCGGACGAAAAGAAAAATCGAATGAGAAGGTATATTTATACATGAAACAAAACTACTCGATCGTTCTTTTGTCGCTGCATTCTGTAATCGTTATCCGTGTTCCTCTAGTTCTTAGAAAAGAATATTTGTCATCAAAATTTTTTTAAAAAACGAAATTTTGATTACGCTTTACTTCTTCGTTCCTATACTTTGTCGTTAAATGTATGTTTAGCCAGCGGACAGTCGTTTCCCCGGCAATAAATACTTCAAACAAGCGCGTCAACACGAATAAACACTTTCCTAATTACGCGCGTAATACATTTAATTTCATCTATTCGAGATACAGATTTTTTACGCTAATTCAATTCAATAGTCGATCGCTTAGCAGCTAGGAGGAAACGAACGCAGTAGGAATGTTTCTAAAAAACTTTAACTATCATTCTTCCTTGATTTACGATCGCACGAATAGTCGTCTTGGGCGCGCGTACGACGCGCGAAATTATTTCCTTTTTCATAGCTACTATTTCACTTTCCGCTTATGCTTGCAAGCGCGCGCCGGCTTTTACGCTAATAGTCCCCAACCTTCCTCAAGGGCCACCCTAAATTTCCCGGCAAATTATACTTATACGCGACAGAGACGCGGAAAATAAAATATACATAACAAAACGTAATAGTGACTTAAATTATAAAAAGAAACGCGATACTTCGCTCTTTCTGAACGCAACTTACCGAAGAAAGACAAGAAGATAAAAGCTTTTATAGGAGCTTCCCGAAGACTTTTGTACAAGTCTGAAATCAATATATTGTAACTGTTCCCGCTGATCGCGTCTCGATGAAACGCGATAGCGCGGCGTGTCCTCCGTGTTGCTGTTACCGCAACGATGTGACAAACGCGAAGTTTAAAATCCTAGGATAAAACAAACGTTGCCGAACACTCTGGTTCCCAGTAGCCTAATGACGCGCCGACGGGGTCGGGTAAACCCCTTCGTCTTACACGCTGGTGGTAATCTGTTCTATGACGGTAATGTCACGGTGACGTCGCGGCCGGGTCCGGTACGGGTCCTGATGGCCGAGGCCCTCTGGCACGCTTTTGCTGGGTCTCAGCGGCGTATGGAACTGCGGATGGCAGTAGTGGTCGACGATCGGGTGGTGGTCGTGATGCACCCGCTCGACGAACTCGCGTTCGCGCATACCGTCTTCGACGTCCAGCGGCACGTGTAGGGCCTGCGACTTGGGCAGCCGGGGCCGCGGTGGTGGCGGGCACGCGCATGGCGGTGGCGGCGGTACGATGCCAAGGCTCGAAAGACGCGGTCCTGGTAGAACCGGCGATGCTGGCTGCCGTCCCCAGCCGACCAGGAAGAGGAGCGCCGCGCCGCACAAGGAACTCAGCGTGCACGCGTAGTAACCCACTCGCGGGCTGCTCGCGTTCATGTAACCTGGGGAAGGGACGACGGAGGATGGTTAAAGCGCCGTGTAATCTGTCGCACATTTGTCAAGGAGGCAATTGCTATGTTCAGCAGAGAAAGCAGCTTTGCGATATTTACTGTGTAAAATGTTTTAACACGATTGGACTCGCTCTTAATTCCTCACTGGTTCTAAATGTATAAATCAATTAGGGTAACTCCGGCAAATACGCCACGCTGGGATTTACGCCGCAGAAGTCAGAAAAAAATAAAAGGAGTGGGGGTAATTTTCCCGTAACTACTCTGTTACATGCCTTTATGTTATATTAGTATTGTGTTAGGATTTCAGCTTCTTACTGTTAATATTAATGAATTTATTGTGAGTTGAATCGATTTGTCACTGTAATAAGTAACGCCATCATAAGTTATAATCTACATAAAATGATTAATGTAGGACGTGTAAAAGACTTAGTGGTTATTTCGTGATACATACGTGTAGTGGAATAGTAAAGCATGTTTGTATTATTAAGCATGTTTGCATTATTTGTAAATTTTTCATGAGCCGTACGTACCCCCTTTCCCCCTATGAGTAGCCATATATCCCACCCTTATGAGATATGCGGCAAAAATACAAGGTTTCAAAAAGTTTATTTTTTAATATGAAAAATAAATATTTCGGATTTCTAATATTTTTTTCATAGTAGGAGATAGTACAAAGTTTTTACTGATATAGTTCGTTTACTATAAACATAGTAAATAATACTTAATAAATTAAGTTTTTGATAGGTGCGGCGTATATACCGGAGTTACCCTATATTTAAAAAATTGTACAATTACGAAGTTGTTTTTTTTTTTGCTGAGAATAATAGCAAATGACTCTAGACGATGGAAGACGGAGATGACCAGAAATTTTAAGCCGGCGATATACGATGCTTTTTTCCTACTGGATTGCTAGCTGGAAAAAAGTATCGTGTACCGCTGGCTTTAGGCAGTGTTCCAATATAAATACTCATACCGAATTCGATTGGACGCACTCAGTACGCACTGGTGCACATTAAAGCCGTCGTATACAAACTGACATAAAAATGCAGTTTTATATAAATGTAGAAACCGATTAAATTTTGAAATCCTCGATGCACTTTTCGATGTTCTGTTAGATAATATATGTATTTGATAATTCGAAATTTTGCGTTTCACTTTTACACTCAAATTGAAACAATGTATAACGGTTTTAATATGCGTCAGTGCACACCAATGCTTTTAACTGAATTTGCTATTACTCTGCCGATACTGAAAATCTATATAGTACGTATATTGTAAATGTTTAGTACTGAAACATGGCCTTATTTTCATCTCGTGCACGCAGAAAAAGGATTCGAATGGAACTTTATTTCGCCCCGGAAAAGATTTTTTTATAATTTCGAAAATATAAAGGAAATTTGTATAAAGTATAATTGGCACGCTATGATTTAATGGACAGTCTCTTTGATTAATCATTCTCATCGTTCCTCTAAATATATAGTGAAGAAATTATGAATGCTAGAATTATCTTGCAATAATGCTATTTTTGAAAATAATCTAATTTCGTAAATAAGAAAAAGGAAGAACAATTATGATCGTGCATTTCCAAGTTATTCAATATAAATATGAAATTGTTTCTAAAATGAACTTCACATGGATAGAACGGTTTTAATGGAAAATATTTAAAAATTTAACTAGATACAAACACAGATCAGAAAATAATTTTGTTGGACTATCAAAATAATTGTGTATAACGTTCAAACTAGTTATCAGAATGTGAAGTGAGCATTATAAATGTGCAAGTTGTTCAATCTGTGTGTGAATATAAGAATATTTCTAAAATAAACTTTATATGAAAAATATGAGGTTATTTCTAAAATAAACTTTACGTGGAAAAAAATAATTTTGCTGAAATATTTAAAAATTTAATTAGATAAAATCTGAAAATAATTTTGTTGGATTATCAAAATAATTATAATAGATGTTGCAAATCATGTATTAATATAGATTCGTAATAATTCATGCACGGAAAGAATGATTTTACTGAAATATCTAAAAATTTAAATTAGATACAGATTTGAAAATAATTCAGCCATCAAAATAATTATTTCAGCCATAAAAATAATTAGGAAAGTCAAACATGATGAACAATGCTGTAAAAGTTTTGACATTCTAGCAACCAGTGTAAATATTGTACATATTATCAGTTAGTGCCAATAGTTATCATCGTTAGATATTGTATAATAATACACATTTACCAAAACGAAATATTTATTTTATTTGCGAAACATCCAAATAAGTTGGTATCGACAGTCACTGTACATATTTAATATATATTATGTGAATATTATTAGACTATTGTTTAAATTGCGCACTAATTACTGCGCTGTGATTATCCGCACATTATATTATTATTGTTTTTTAATTTCGAGAGCCCGATTAGTAATTAATTTTGATTTTATTTTATTTGACTCATAATGTATAATTTGATTTTTTCTTGAAACATATTATACGTGCTGTTTAATTTTCTTCCTTAGTGGAAATCTCCTCATAGGTAGTTCCAAAAATGCCCATTTTAGAAGGGTATATACCCATCTAAAATGGGTATATGTATATCCGTTTCAAATCTTCCCATCATGAGGAGATTTCCACCAGGGTTTATTTTTAAATTTTACTGTAATTTTCGCATAGTTTCTGATAGGTAATGCGATAGTGAGGAGGAAATACCGAAATTACGAGTTGAAATTCCAACTGAATTAAACTCCTCAAAGTGACCAAAACCTGCAGTTCTACTGGTGTAATATGCTCGAGTCTTACGAATATGCGTGACAGTTGTCACGCTTCCTTGAATATTCTCTCCCAGCTGGAGAGCAGGCTAGAGGAGCGTATTTCCCGAGTTCCGTACGTTATTATTATTAAGGACGTCGGCATTAAATTCATACACAGGGACCGTAAGACCATTAGTAGGGACGGATTTAGCATGCGGGAGAGCGGATTTCGCCCACCTCGGTGGCTCTAAAGTTCTAATACTGTTGTACGGACGTTTGAAAGCATGAAGAATCTGCGTTTAGGAGGAAGTAACTACGTGCTTTATAATAGATACAATGGATGCAGAGCTAGAGGCTTTATCGAAATATTATGTAGAAGCGTATATAATGGCTTTGTTGGTTACTTCGTATAATCTCCGTCGTCAACTAAATGCAAAAATTCGTCTCATTTTACACGAGAGAGAGAGAGAGAGAGAGAGAGAGAAAATAGTAATAAAAGTATAATCCTTGTTTTTCAATCTATAACGTTACAGCTTTAATGTTATAACGATATAGCTTTACAGAGAAAAATATTTTATACATGTAAATGTGCTTTGCCTGCAAGTGTTTGCATTTCGATGAGAAGCAAAAAGATCGTTTTTACATGACCTGTCGTAAGGATCCCCCAAATAAATCAAGGACGACTCGAGGACTTAACTGGGAACTGGCATACCTGAAATGTCGTATTACTCATGCGTACCTGTGAGAGGAACTCCAAGAAGGATGGGCAGGGCTTCCGCGGCTTGCACCAAAGCCCACGATCTGGCAAAGTGTCTCGCTCGCAACCTCTCCAGCGCCAGCATCTTCAGGGAATAAAGCGTACCGCCGAGCGAGGCGCCATAAAGTGCGGAGGCCAGCACAAGTCCGTGATAACCTTGCACGCTACCAAGCGCCACTTGAGCTACGGCTTTAAGCAGAAAAGAAACCTAATTCGAATCGATAATCCTCGAGGCGTAATCCTTGAGTCCACAATTCCTAAGTTGTTCACGCGCAAAATCCATGCAGCACAATTTTTTAGCTTGTCTTTTCACTACGTAATTCCTCCTCTTCAAGACTTTTATATGCACAAACTCACTCACAAATCTTAAATCGTTTTTCTCGCATGGCGAATAGTGCTTCACAATTTTACTGGGTTCAATTTTCATTTAAAAGGGAGCTTTATTGCAGGGCTTTGCAGCGAAAAATAATCCCTCGAAATAGAGATACAAATAGCCCTCTTTGCAGTTTCGTTCCAATAAAATAAAGATCAAAGGAAAGAACTTACAGTTAAAATAGGATAGATTCCATAAAAAGAAAGAGTACGTTAGGAAGTACGTATATAATATGGCTGTTCTGAAGAATAAAAAAATACCAATGCGTTAAATCGCGTGGTGCCATTCGCCACGGTGGAACGTGAACATCTAGCAATTTGAACATGTTTACAATTAACTACGGGCGTGTATGCGAAAGCGACCGCGAGGTGTACTGACCAACCCCAATGAGTGCCGCTTGACAGAGATATTGCCTGGACACTAGGCACTGAGCGGAAGGTCTGACGATAACTACTCCCAAAGCCGCGCATCCGAGTGCCGCCGCCAGGCCTAGAAAGGTCTGTAGCAGTACCAAGGCGCTGGCCTCTAATCCATCCTGGTAGCCTTGCAGAGCCTGAAAGTGATGTTTCTCATTAAGGCTGCGCCGGAAAGAACGTGCTGTACGGATCACCACGATAACGCGGACAATGACGCCCGGTAACGACGCCCGTCTAATATCGATTATCGAAATTGGCCCCGTCTATCCCTCGAGATTACTCCGGAAATCGCGAAATTACGAAACTCGACGCTTGATTCTGCATCATTAAACCCTTAGCAAAAATGTCACGTGCTATCAAATTGTCTTGCAACCGTTTTGGCGTATTTGGTGAATATTTTTTTGCCGAAACGAAATAGCTGAGGCGACTTTCCTCCAACCCGTATCAAAGTATCAGTAATACTTTGTCTTCAAGTTACGTTTATTACGGAAGAAGGAATTTTGAGAACGCTCTGGAAGGTAAATTGATAACGCGAAACGGAATAAAATTTTCAGGCTTTTGACTTTTGTCACGCCAGGTCTTTGAGACTAGCTGAGAGACCTATTATCAAAGAGAGAAATCCTTTTCAATCACTGAGTGCACTTACGATATAGAAGGCGGGGGTGTAAAGACCGAAACCAGCAGCACCGGCAGCCAGCATGAGCATTCTCACAGGACGCGATCCCAGAGGACTCAGGTCGACCAACGGCTGCCTTGGTATCTTGGTCGCGGATTTCTTCTCTTTGACTTTGTTGCGCTGATTCTTTAGATGCAGTATGGCTCGCCGTTGAGGGTGGTACAGCGAGGCACTCCGGTAAATCAGCCCCAGAAAGAAGGCCAACGAGAGCGCTCCGGTTACCGATTGAAGTCCCGGTCGCCAGCCCAGCTTCCTGAAGGTACAGCTACGGTTACGATCATCACGCAGGAAACGTCGAATCAGCTGACGATGCTTCTGCCGGCCGAGTTTTTGTACTCCGTAGCTACGTTTTATATTACACAGTGAAAACTACTATGCTTGCATTTCTGAGAAGAAATTTTTCGCGCTCTGTGAAGCATTCACTGAAATAGCAATTTTGCTGAAGAACTTAAAAATTTAGTTAGATACAGATCTGAGAATAACTTTGTTGGATCATTAAAATAATTTTCCAGGAATCTTAAGCATGATGAGCAATGCTGAAAAACGTTTTGATATTCTAACAACCAATTTTGTCGTCCTACCTAATTATTTTGATGATCCAGCAATTGTTCAGATCTGTATGTAGTTAAAGTTTTAGATTCCTCAGCAAAATTGCTTTTTCAGTGTTTTTCCGTTGCAATTGCACTCGTCTGTTCACTCGGAAATCGTCTTCAAACGTTAGAAGATTTTAAATATTTAAATGTTTAGCTGATTACATGTAGCATTTAGCATGCGTTAATAAGAAAATACAATTTGTTCAATATTCTCGAAATTATAGTAAAACCGAAACAAATAGTTCGTTATAATAGATTATAACAAGAAATTACTCGATTATCGTCGTAAAAATCGATGTAAAAATGAAGCACTATTTTAATCAAAAAGACATAATCTTATCAGAAAGTAATTTCGCTAAAATTTCTGCAAGTAATTAATTTGAATTAACGTGAAGTCAATGAACGATAAAGTTTAACAACTTTTTGATGCTTAATGCAGATTTTTTGAAGCTCAAGCATACATTATTTCCGTATAACTTCTGAAACATATTAAATAAAAAGTTGTGTAATGCAGACTTTTGAATGATTTATGATGCGCACGTTTCCAAATTATTTCGTCATCCGAGAAGTTATGAAATTCGCATTTACGCGAGCGCATCGTCAAGCAGTATTGCTTCTGAGGAGAAATATCCATTTATTCCCGCTGTTATTTTCTTTTAGTAGAAACTTTATAAAGAAACGCGTTAAACCTGTCAAGTTTTAATACTCTGCAAACATTTAACGATCTTTAATATTTTCACCGCGCAGTGTGAAACGTCTCTTGGGAAGTCTCGTTTATTTTATTATTTTCTAAACGTGAAACAACGTAAAAGTACAAACGAGATAAAAATACTTGGGCGAAGCGACAGTTCTAAAAAAATTATGTAGATATACACACATAAAATAAAACATGAATCGTCAACCAGCAAATTATAAAGTTGGATTAACAGACAGAGGACAATTTAAAAAAATAAAAGGAAAAAAGAATAATAAATCAACACATTTGGCTTTAAGCGGAATTAACCCGTTACGAAAAACGTAATTTTTTTAAGCTCCCAGTGTACATATAATATAATTACCGAGTTAACTCTCGCTCGCCCCGATTACTAAAAAATACAAAGACGAATGCGTTCTTTCCTAATAAATCCTCTGTATTTTCTGGATTTTCCCTTCAAGCAGAATACATACAGACGCTGTTCTTTATGTTTTCCCGTTTGTGCGTGAAAACGGCGAATGTTTGCAAACAGCTAGTTTGCGCGTAAGAAGATTAAAATAAGAGATAAAACTGAATTTTCTATGGAATGTGTTCAACATACGTCCGTATAGGGGTGAAAGTTGCGCTTTAATCCTACCTTGGTGTAAGGATAATGAGACCCGCACGCGCGGTCCATGAGTATTCATGATTATTCATAGTACATATCCGGTACGTTTTTATCACGGGCACGAGCCGTTATCTCTGCGAGCGGAGGAGTTAAAATTTATTTTCTGATACGCGCGCCGCGCCTTCCCTCATTCGCGCTAGCTATCCGATATGGGAACGCATATTAAATGTTTATCATGTATTCCCGGTCGGAGATGATGATGACGGTTCGGTAACGCACGGCACGTGTAATAAACCGCCCCAGCCGCATTGGTTGCACTCAGTCAGCCGGTCGATGCGTTTGAGAGAGAGAGAGAGAGAGAGAGAGAGGCGGCTAATTATTCGGCAAAAAGCCGGATTGCGGCACGTTCGCGATTGGAGTACGTTTTGACAGGTTTGTCGTTATCACGGAATTATATATATATATATATGTGGCTGTGAATTTTTTTGTATAGACCGCATTGCCTGACAGCCGCGTGCACTGCTCCAGCTACCGTTCTGTATACGGTAAAGTTAAACCATGCATTGCATGCGGCTTTCCACGCAACAAAATGGGGAAGGATGAAAAATTTATCACATATATATCCAGCGTATATTTCAGAAATATGGTTCTGGAATTTATGGTTATGTAAAAAGGATAATCGATTTCCAAGGTAAGACACGCAATTCTGTAAAAATAAAGTCTATCTAGTTTGATAGTTATTCTTTACAAGAGTAACACTTAGTTTGAATAAATATTATTAAATCAATTATGATGAATCGGTTAAAACGAGATAAGTAATGTATAATAGAAACTTCCACGGTTTATTACATGTAATTTAATTCGATAGGTCTGTTTGACGAGTCGATAAAAATAATGACTAAATCGTCAAGAACAATGTTTGAGACCAATCCTTATAATGTACTTTTCACTACAAATTAATGGATATTTCTCCTTCGGTTGAACTTTTATCTTTCGAGTTTACGAAGAAGTACCATTTGCTGCTTTGGAAAGAGGAGAGAAAAAGAAGTATGAAAGTGTGTAGAAGAGATACCATTTGAAAGAACAAATCTAATACTGTACTACCATAATCGTAGAAGAAATTCGCCTGGTAAACCGCATCCGCAATGCAGTGATTCCCGCGCGAGATAAAGTATAAATTATCCGCGGCTAATTTTACGCTAATATTAATTTATTAACAAACGCGTCTGGTAGTCGAAAAAATATTTTTGTTTGAAATAAAATTGTAAAAGAGCAAATGGTTATAAATTCTATTCATTTTATTTAGTTTTCTACATGTAACATAAATTATTTTGTAAAATCTGCAATGCAGCCTCAGGATGATTAATTAAAATTCTAGTATAATTCTTTTTTCTCTCATTAAAAATACTGAACACGAAATAAATATATTGCTTAAAAAATATTTTTATCGAGCAAGTTGTCGAGCAACAACAATAATGACAGAAGCTTCTACATTTCATACATTATTGTTTCCATGCTAATTTCTTTTTGTCACGTACTATCCCCAGAGTTTTCAAATACTTCTATACTTTATATTGTAAACTAGTTCGGTATATCGTTCTATTGGACAAACTTATCCAGTTATCAAGTAACCCATACATCGACTTAGGAAGTTACTCCATATTCGTCGGTCCAGAAGAGCCCGATCTCTAATTGGACATGCTTTTATACCTAACAGAAACTGCCACATAGCAACGGCAATTAAGTTGCACGCTTAATAACCCGTATGTATGTATAATGATCACAGCATTTTGTCTACATATAGGTTAACATACACGAGAGTTAAATCACGGTAAATATCTCTCCCTAGCGCCAAATTCAATCAACATTCACTACAATTTAATTTTTCGCGATAGTTCAACAAAATGAAAATTACGCCATGGATTATTTTTTTACTTTTAAGTTTGTTTTTTTTGTAGTAACATATAATTTAACCGTTACACAGTTATAAAACTGTTTGAAATCCTTTTACTTCCGGAAACGAAAATTAAAAATCAATTTAATATGTTTTAACATCATGTTACACATTGATTCAAAATTAAGAGCTTTTTAAATGGCGATTAAAGCTCCAGGATACATAACAAAATTTTGCTCTTCAATTAATTTCCATTTGACTTTAATAAAACTCTAGACGTAATTTCAAACGCACGTTACAGATTGAAAGAAATTAAACGTTAATTAAATGTTTGTAAAAATTAATTGAAGGATAAAATTTCGTTATGTAATACTTAAGGCTCTAACAGCTACTTGATACTCTTAAATTTGTTATATTGGATGATCAGCGTGTCTCTTAATGTCAGAACGACAACTAATCAAATAGAAATAACAGTTTTCCACAGGTTTCACTGAAAATAAGCTGAATTTAATCTCACATAAAATCCACGATCGCTGAAGGACACTCGGGAATACAACTGAAAATAATTTGCTGAACATTCGCGAATAATAGATCAATGATACTAACGAACGCCCGTGGCAAACTCCAAACGAGCTATTTCGACGGTCGGTGAAAGATATAAACGGAAAGGGAGGGGCACGCAGAGGGAGAGAATAAAGGGCTGAACCGAATAGAACGTTCAATTATTCCACGTCGAATCTGTTCTCTGTTTTTGTGCACGGAAACTGTCGTTGCGCCGCAACGTCCGTACGTCGAGGGACATGCAGTTGCGCGAAAATCTACGATAAAAGGGTGGCGCGCATTGAAAGCAGTTTTGTCCGTATGTTACACGTGGCCGCTCGACTTCTCGTGCGCAATTTGTTTCAGGAGTTGTTGTCGTCAAATATCGTTGCTACTACCAGCGAAATTCATCGTTTTCGAGTACACTTCTACAAAAAATAACGTGCGTACGTGAGCTCTTACTTTTACAGAGGATTTGCGATTTTTATCTAAAAATATTATTCCATCTTAAAATAAAATCTCAATATCGAACATTTTGATTATTGTGTTGTGTGTTTGACTTTTCTTTAAATTTTTGTTAAAGTACAATATGACTTATTTGTTAAGTAGCATCGTGTTATTCTTTTATACGTCTATACGAAAAAAACAATTTTGTTGAAATATCTAAAAATTAAGTTAGACACAAATCAGAAAATAATTGTGTTGGACTCAAAATAATTATGTAGAACGTTGAAACTAATTGCTAAAATATAAAAATTTTTTGCAACATTGTCCATCGCGCGCGCGCGCGCGCGTCTAGAGTTTCCTCTACATAATTATTTTAACAGTCCAACAAAGTTATTTTCTAGATTTGTATCTAGTTAAATTTTAAACATTTCAACAAAATCATTTTTCCCGTGTATTTTTCAGTGATTCAATTTTCGATTGAAATAAATAATGTAATGTATATAATTTTTTAAATTTTGATTTTTAGCAATTTATTGAAAAACTGTTTCCTAACCTTTTGTAAAAACTTTACTTTTAATTATTAATCATTTCGTGTAACTTCAATTTACCTTTTAGAGAATGAACAATCTTATCTATATATACTTAGTCATCTATTCTTCCTTAAATTGCAAGCATTTTCAACAAATGTAAATTAATTCAGGTAATCGATCATACGACAAGCTTGTTCGTAGTAATCACAGTGACGGATAGAAATGTTTAGGTAAGAGATTGGACATTATATATTTAATCCGCCATATTTTTCAGGATCTGCAAGATGAAATAAGATAGATGACTGGTATTCACAGCAGGTTCTTACTTCAAGATCGTCTAAAGTAATCTCTTAAAATGCTAATACAATTTTATATGGTTTATATCTTAAGACTGCACTTAAGATATAAAATATAAAATATATTTTATTTCTTTTATCTTAAGCATCGTCTTGAAAATAGCGGACAAATAAAAAATGTTTGTCTAAACAGTGTCTAATCTCTTAGGGTGCGTTCACACCTTGAGGGAAAAGCAGCTGCTGCTTTTCCGCTTTCTGCTTTTCCGTCAAGGTATGAACGCGTCCTTATACTTGAGTATCTCTAGTAGCGGATATCTCAAAAGTAATGCCGGTCTTCGCAATTTTTCCGTCTGCACCTAAGTACTAGTTTCTGTTGCCCGTGCAATGAAAAAGGACAGTAAGCGATATTAAAATTTGCATCGTGCATCCACGTGCGAAGAAATGGCGGGACTGAAGGTTAATTGGATCCTCTTCGCTTGACTTGAGCAAAATGTCGGACGGGTGCACATTCCTAAGGGTGGTATCGCCTAATGTATACATTCCCGCGCGTTTTCCAAGTAATATGTGTGATAACTCACCCGACTGCTTCTTTGTAGACGACGCTGAAGAGCACTATTCCCACGCCGGTGCCAGCCTGCACCACCATCTCGACGAACTCTCGCCGTTTTCTGAAGTAATTGCCCAATACCAGACTGGCGGTTTCCCTCACAAGGCCAGCTCCTGTGCCCAGCACCAGGCCGTAGCTGTTGCATTTTGTAAAGGTAAAGCGTATGACTTTTGCACTAGAATGCCGCGCGAAAGTCGTGGCGATATTTTAACGGAAAACGAGTCGTTAATGTTTCCAAGAAAACGAAACAGTTGGGATATACACAGTCGCAAATATTGACTTCTCATCATTTTTTCATGACTTTTCTGAAAAGTATGAGAGTCGCTATTACGCAGTTTTCAGCTTTAAAAGCTATTTAAAAGCAGAATTAAACGAGTAACTATTATCATAGAAATATGCACCTCTGCGTATTGTTGTACGTATAATGCGCACAGAATGCATTTCAGCACTCATATTAATATCAACTAAAATTGCACGTAGCAACGCAGATGTTTTTTTTTCCATAAAATACAATATTCTTTTTAATTTTCTTTTAATTTGACTACATAATTCGCGACTAAAAAGAAGTTTGAAGCATAATAAACGCTTGTATAAATAATTACTTATTTTTCCCGTAAAAATAACTTTAATAATTCACTCAACATGCTATTAATATTTCATCCCTCGCATAAAAGTTTTTTTAACAAAAAAATATTCTCTCATCTACCCTTCGATTATTTTTACTGCAACATCCGTCGCGATAATTTTTTCGCGGTTAAACGTCACTTGCATAAAAGTTGAAAAAAAATTGGCTCTCGTCTCCTCTCATCGATTATTTTTAACGCAGCGTCCACGGCGCGATTCTTCCCGAATAATAGCTGTTGCGTCATTACGCACCTAAGGAGCACTTGATGCATCTGGACGGCGAACGAGGTGAAGAGCGACGCCAGAGCCAGCACAAGGCCACCAATCACCGCCGTAAGCCTCGTATTGCCACGACGACACGCACCCACAACCAGCGGTGCTGAACCACGAGAGATCGCGGCGCTCAACGCCCCCGCCCACACTGAAACATTTACCCAATAGTCACTTTGGTGGATTAATAAAGCCGGAGCATAAACCTTTGCATAACGCATAATGGATAAAGTATGAAAAAAATCAACCAATCCGAATCTTTTATTTTAGGAAGGAAGGAAATGAAGGACTTTGATTGGTTCATTTTCTTATGCATTATGTGTTATTCGTTATGGAAGACTGTGCTCTCGTTCTTAGAGTGCGATTGCAGAATCAGAAGGATGCAAAGGATTCTAAATGTGGACCAATTACATCGCAGCCTCTTGGCTGTTCTGGAGGAGCGTGACGAGGTTTTATTTGGGCTGATTTCTCGCTCTAACAACGGATTGGAGTTCGTTTGCTGATTGATTTTGCGTTTGTGTGCGCTAACGAGGAAACGCTGGCAAACCGAAATGTTGCCTCTTTTTGTATGCCCATGAACGAGATTCGCACGGGCAAAAATAATTGTCTATGTGTTTTTCAACCTCTACCAATACATCCTCGCATTCGCAACTTGCGGGAACCGCGCTTCGTCAACACTGATCGGATCCGGGCTCGATGCAGAAAAATTGCCGAAGACACGAATTCTCACGAATGCTGTTTCGACATTTTTTCACCGCACGTCCGAGGCCACGAAGCTCTTTTAGAAAAATTCGTTCGCCTCCTATATTTTTTTGCGACGACTCAAATTTCGGCCACGAATTTTTCATACAAATATCAGGTAATTTTTAGACAAGGTCTTGAAAAAATTATTCCAAGATAAATACATCTTTTAATAATCATATCAATACATTCTTTCAAATATTGGATTATGGTTATTATTTCTCGTTCATTACTATCTTATTCTCTTTCTTTCTTCTTCGTTAATTATATTATATAAGTTATAATTTTATTATAAAGTATATATATAATATATATATAATAATATCTATTAATAAGTATATTATAATATATACATATATAGATATTATTATATAAATAATAATATAATAATAAATTTTTGTCATTCAGGCTATTAATAAAAGCTTTTTTGAAAAATTAAAAAACATTTATAGTTTTAGTTAACAACGTGTGACATCAAAAATACAATTTTTATTTATTAAAATAAAATACACTGGAAAAAGGATTTAGTAAATTTTGAAACTAAAATGTTAATCATTTTTATTTTCTGCATATAAAATATTAATATTGAATTAAATAAAATTTTTATGATTTTGAAGCATTTTTGTTATATTAATATAAAAAAAAATTTATATATCACAAAACGCCAAATTTAATTATTTATTATAAAAAAATGTCTCTCTCATTTATCAAATTGAATTAAAAACAAATAACTAAATACAAAGAAAAAAACATGGGAAAAAAAGTTTTATAAAAAATAATAGATAAAAATTAAAAAATTAGTAAACCTAAGTTGGTCAAAGTACAGAATAGGGTTTTAATTTCTTAAGGATTTTGTAAGGTTTATAATTGTGCACATATTTTTAAAACGTTCAATTCGTAACTGAGTAATTCAGAAGTTCCAATATCTTTTTTTATATTTCTGACTACAGCTACTTTTGCATATCAGCTGCCATATTATAATAAAAGTTTAGGCTTATAAGCAGCATCATAAACTAATGCTTCATTTCTCTTGAGGTTTTCTACACATTTATATTTATTTACCACAATTATATGTTTTCTATAATAAAAATATTAATATTATTATTAAGCATTTTTTTTCTATTTATTTCATTATTTAAATTCAGACATTTGTTAACCCATTACCTCATTATCGCGTAGCAGTGCAACACACGCGCATCCATATACAAACATAGCAAGAAAAACATTCTCTTCTCGCTTTCTAGGATTTTGTGTTTTCGACAAAGTCATCGGATTTATCGCACGATTCTTCGTAATTACTCCAATTGATGTCGGATTTCGCAATTACTGATAAAATCTTCGTAATATAAATTACGTTAGTTTTCTGCGACGATTGCTTAAATCGTTAATTACTATTTACAGTATGATGCAATAATACTGTGCTTTCCTCAAATGTTTCAACAAATGACAAACGGATTTTCCATTGAAGAAATTTATAAGAAAGATCAATCGTACATAGTAACACATTTGCGGCAGAAAGAAACAAGACGTGAAGTAGAGAAGGCAATTCGTCGCTTCTCCGATCGTAATCCGCGCGGACGCGCGACAAGATTTATACAAAACTTCACGCCCTGTCGCGGATGCGCGGATAAAAATTCTGATATCTGAAGACAGCGCGAGATATGCATTGCGCGCTGCAAACACTATTATGTTGCAGCACGGAATACGAAAACCGTCGCCCGATTTGATGCGGCATCGCGTCAAGATACGCTATAGCTGTATCTCTCTGTAATGCTAAAATTGGACGGGGCTACGTCAATCGTATTGACGTACGTCTCCTGTAATCTCGTAAAAGCATCGTTTTTTACCTTTTTACATGGTGAAATGGCGCGTAGGGAACACCTCTTTTTACAAATACACCGTGCCAACTTCTCGCGAACGCCAGCCCAGTATAACTCGCAAATGTCTCACGTAATCGTATCTCGATCTCAAACTCGGCAGATATGAATAATCGAACTGAAACGCATTTATATGATGCGGAAGTTAAGCTGCTATCGCTTTATCGGCTCACTCAATTCTGTCGATTTATCTATATGCGCCTGTCTAGTTGTCCATTTGTCAACCGATCTAAAACTTTGAGTGTTCGGTAAATGTTTGAAGACAGAGACGTGAACAATTCCAATAAAGTTTCAGAAAAAAAATTTTTTAAAGTCATCAAGCGTAAGAATAAGTGGAAATTTTTGTATTAAAGACCACTGTATTAAATGAAATTTTTCTAAATGTATTGAGCAGCTAGTATCATTTTACTACAAAAACCATAACTTTTTAAAAAAACAGCTGAACACAAAAATTTAAGCAGCACTTAATAATATTATATTTTTGAGATAAAAACATTCAATGATTAAATTACAGTAATTAAAAAATAAATTTTTATTGTTTGTTCACAAATTTCATTTGGCTGTTTAAATAACAACACGACTAATTAAAAATAATTAATTAAACTTTAATCAAAACTGTTAGTGAGAAAAAACTTCATGTAATTAATTGAAAAACGAGATCTTGTCAGGTACACCTTTCGCTATCAAACTTCGTTGGTGCCATGATGTTTTTATCTAATCGAGTTTAAATTAAATTTCCGTTTTTATAAATAATCAATCTGAATATTTTTAATTATTCATATGTTCGAATATTAGTCGACTTCAAAAATGTAGGATTTTTACACATGATTTTTACAGTTACAAATTGCAACAGAACGAGTTCTTGATAATTAGATGTGTTTTTCTCCGTGAAATTCTGTATACTTGCAAATGAGTGGCCGGCCGACTTTGCTAAGGAGGCGTAAACGTACTTTCATTGGGTACAGGAAAGATCTGAGAAAACGATGTCTTTGGGATACGCTCAAGGCGTGATATTATATCGAAACGAGAGCACATATCTCACTATTTCGAAAAAAAATTACGTCAGGAAAATTATCACTTGTCAAACGTGAAACGCCTGCGTGTATAATTACATGATAATGACGTAAACACGCAATGTTACGCTCCGTGACTTGACGTTTCGCACATTTTGAATTCACAAATTGCATGTACATAAATTCAAGAATATCAAGCCTTCACATGCCACGTGTCAACTATAATGATGTAAAGAAGAAAAAGGTATGTATATGCATACAATGTGTCACAGTTGTAAAAAAATTTGCTCTATTTTTTCCTTAAAAATAGACAAATTATACACAAAAAGAACGATTTTCCTGAAATATCTAAAGATTTAGCTAGACATATAATATATAAATAATTTTGTTCGATTATCAAAATAATTATATAGGATACTCGAGTTGGTTGCTAGACTGTCAACACTTTTTGCAGCATTATTCTTGTCATGCTTGAGTTTTCTAAATAATTATTCCGATGATCCAATAAAATTATTTTCAAATCTGTGTCTAAATTTTTAGATCTTTCAATAAAATCGTTTTTTTGTGTATAAATCATGTACGAAATTATTTTTTATTATAGAATTAACTTATTTATATCGTAATTATTTAATAACGTGATTTATCGATCTATATTATGTATTTTAATATTGAAAAGATTTTAAGAGTAAAGCAATATCTTCCTTATACATTTTCAACATCGCGCGTAATTTATGAGTTCTCTTTAATCTTTGAGTTGAGCACGTAATCCTAGCAAAGATAAAATCATCGGATCGATAAAGAAACGGAACGATCCTGAAATGAATATGCATTGTCCGACTTCATTACGACTTAAAAAGGTTGAAGGCTTTGAAGGCTTTGAAGGGACCTAGATATTGGTGCAGAGCTCTTCAACAGGTAGCGACTTCGGCTCGACATTCTTATGCGAATAATTTATGAGTCTGGATGCTTTTAGCGCTATTTGTACAAGTGCGACTAAGTGGAGCGATGAACCCTCGTTTAGAATTTCACGGATTGGATTTTGCAAAGCTCTTTTGTACCTAGATTGATTTACATGCAAAATATCTGCCCTTTTTTTACCTACGTCCTATATGGCTATTATTTTTCCAAAACAAAAAAACGCGAATAAAACAGGACAATAGTTCATCAGTACAGATAAACTGAAAAAGTCTGGTTATAGCCAAATGTTGAGTAAAATAACTTCGACCAAATGTTCAGATAACATAATCAAACATACAATTTTACCTTTATAAATATTTAGTAAATATTACCAACGATAATATTTATTAAATATTTATAAAAAGGTAAAATTATATTTAATTATATTACTTGAACATTTGTTTGAAATTATTTTATTCAACATTTGGTAACTATAACCAGACACTTTTTCAGTGTAGTTGTATAATATAAGTTGAAAAATTGTTTGTTACAGAAATGATCCGGAATGAAATAAGTAGAAATATGAACTATGTGTCAACTTGGAATTTTCTGAACATAAAATCCTTCTGGTATCCTCATAACATTTCGTTTATCTTGTCTTCTTTGGAGAAAGAGGATCGTTTTTCGCAAACG